GTTTAGCTGATAGTGTTAATAATACGATGCGCAAATCTTTTTTGGTGATAAGGATGAACTTACAACTCGCGAAGCTGCCCAAGTTGGCCTAAAGATTGAGGAATTGTCCCTTCGAGCTTATTGTTTTCCAAATGCCTTCATGAGATCATAAATGGACAAATATCACAAATCTGCAACAAGTACAAGGAACCTAAAGAAGCTAGTCATAAATGAAGCAATTAAGGAATCATTCCTAGAACATACAGGGTTTGTAGCTCTTTCAGTGTGCTCAAGTTTGGGATAGAACCTGAGAGTTTGTTCCCTCCTAGCCAACTATAAGCAGAATATTCAAATTCAAAGTTATTACTGTTGATCAAACAACAAAAACGAGTATTTGGAGTCATTTAGCACAATTAAGCAGGCTAAGTTTCTTACATATGGGCGACTGCAGTTAGATTGGCTAAGCTTGAGGGTAGTGACCCAGAGATGCCCATGCTTGTAAGGTTCCTTCATGTAATACAGAAAACAAAAAAAGTAGCCCAACAGAGTTAGTTATGCTTTGGTTGATTTTCCAATTGAATACTGTAGAACTGTAATTTTATTGCAGAACTGATATGCCTTAACCAAGTTCAAAGATCTATAACACCTGCTAACGTACCTGGTTCAGGTAGTTTAATTTAAGCTCATTAACATAAGTGGTAAATTAAAGTGAACTTACAAAGCAACAACTCGAGCCAATTTATCTTGGGAACATTTAACTCCTGTCCACGAATTCTCTGGAGGCAGGCAAGGGTCGCCACTCCAATCGGACGGTGGATTAACAAACCTTCTTGCTAAATTTTCCATTGCCATCACTACGAAATATGGAAACCACAGAACTGTCAAGACAAGGCAAGAAAAGACCTTCCACAAATAGGTGATCATAACTAGGCAATAGTGGGCTACCATCTCTTGTTAGAGTTCTTCCACCAAGAGGCAAAATGTGATATATTTCACCAGCATTGATCACAGGTCCAACAGGTATATTGTTCCCTGGAGTTAAGGTGATTTCTGTCTGCCCAGAAAGAGGCCACTCTGATCCATAAACAGTCACACCGTTTGCTGTCACATTGAGATCCTTGTAAAAATTCTGTCCATTAATAGAAACACTGAAGACCCTCCAGCTGTATGGGCTCGGTGTCCGGTTGTCCTGGAAATAGAGTGCGATGTAGTATTTGGTGCTGGGGAGCGACACTGGCGGCCACTGGATTTTTATTGTCTTTCCTCTGCTTGTTGTGATTGCTGATGCGAATGCTCTCTGAGGAGGAAAGTTCCAAAACTCTGAAGAACTAATATTGTTTTGGCATTCAACAACAGGGTTCTGATCTATAAATGGCTGCCACAACCGGTTGAATTGATCATCTGGAAAACTAGGTTCAATTGTTTTTACATATTCACCATCAGAAGTCTCCAGTATGTTTTCACTAGTTTTTCTTTAAAGAAAAAATACTGAAAAAAGACATAAACTAGTAAAGAAAAAGAAATGAATGGCGGGCTAATTTGCATACCCAATTATTTCTTCATCTGCACCAAAATTGTCTCGAGCAACAGTAACGAGCGCATACTTCGAAAAATCTGTCGAATTGTACACCGAATTTCCAAGGTATTCTATTTCAAGAGCTGATATAAAAGGACTAGAATTAGTGTGCACATTTCTTGCAAGACAAACACTCAATGTCTTAGCCAATGAAGCCACAATAATCTCATAATATGAACTCATCCCTTTCGCATAATCTTCTGTGGTATCGACAGTGCTCCATTTAGTCCCTTGAATAATCTGGTCAAATACTGGAGGCTCTTTCCCCCCATCATAACCTCCATAATAATAGGTAGTCCTAACTAAATATTTCCCTCCTTTGATCACAGGAAGCACATAGCAATATTTTTTTGCTGAGGTATCAGGAAAGAAGCGCAATGTGGACAATACCGGCAATACATCTGCTGTTTTGATGGCTGATTTGTTTCCAACAGATATGAAACCCTTGTCCGGAATGTATTTGAGGTTGCCATGAGTTATGTCCTCGGACGCACCACAATTTAATTGAAAACCTGCATCACAAGGTTGTCATGAACCAAAACAATAATCATGCATAAAATGTTCAGCTCTATCATGTATAGAAAGCGAAGAAAAAAAATATATTTGAAGACAGAATAGAAGGACAAGAGAAAAAAGGTTTACATAATGTTTTTAGTTGTTACCTCTAGGAGCAGGGAGTGGATGGACAGAGAGGGGGATGCATACAAGCCATAGGAGGAAGATGGAAAGGGACATTGTGGGGTTGGGAAAGGGAACCAGAAAGAATGGAAAATTGACTAGTTTTGTTTAGTTTTCCCTGGGGCATCGCACGTTTCCAATTCCAAATGGGACACGTCCAAGGCTGTGCTTGAAGATAGAAATGGCAAGATGGTATTATTGGCATGTTTTGTTTGATTTTCCCTGGGGCTCCAATTCCAAATAGGACACGTCCAAGGCTGTGCTTGAAGATATAAATGGCAAAATGATATTGAATCGACGTGCTTGACCAGGTCATTCACCCCCTTGATGTTTTTTTTTAATCTTTCGGGGAAATTTTTTATTTTATTAAATAATATTTATGACACACAACTGGCATCTACGCGCCTATAGCTCAGTGGATAGAACGTCTGGTTTCTAAGGCTTGAAGATATAAATGGCAAAATGATATTGAATCGACGTGCTTGACCAGGTCACTCACCCCCTTGATGTTCTTTTTTATTTTTCGGTTCTCTAGATTGTTTGTTTTTATAAATAATATTTATGAACACGGCATCTACGCGCCTGTAGCTCAGTGGATAGAGCGTCTGTTTCCTAAGCAGAAAGTCGTAGGTTCGACCCCTACCTGGCGCGATACTAACATTTTTGGGCCCCATAAATTCGAGTATGGGCCGGCGGCTCCATCTTGGCCCAGTTCTATTCATATCTCAGCAAATCAGAGACCATTAATTTCGTTCTTTCTGATACAGCCGCCATCTTCGCCTATAGCAAACAACGATGAAGGCTTTTGACATCGATGGAAGCAACACCCTTTCTCTCGCCCTTTTCACTGGAGTTGGGAATTTGGGTTTGGTATAAATTGGGATTTGGTGTTTAAAGGTTGGTGCTTGTTAGTTTGTTAGCGAAGATATGTAAAATCTTTGGTGGAAATACGCAGTAAAGACTCAATTTTATGCAAATTAAGGCAGATGTTCCTAATAATATAGATAAAGATGAGCTTATAGTCAGTGGGTTTCTTTTTTTTTGGTATTAGCAAGAAAATACAGGGAAAATGGCATCTTCGGTTGTATTGGCTCTTGGTTCTCGTTGTCTTTTAATTTTTTTTAGATTAATGCAGATATCCGAATTAATTTATGTCAATTTATGTGTACCATAATTATTTTTATGAATTCTAAAATTAATAACTATGTAAACTTTTAATATCTATTATATTAAGTAATCAAGAATTTAAACATGATAACAGAGAAAGTGAACCCCTCTAAACAGGGAAAATGGCATCTTCGGTTGTATTAGCTCTTGGTTCTCGTTGCCTGTCAATTTTCATAGAACCAGATATTGACATTGTTTTATTAGCAGGTAGACAGGCTTCAGAATATGTAAAATATTAACATGGTGATTGTATGAAAACTCTTATTTCTGTGGGCCCTTTTGATTGTGTTGGTTAGGGCGTCTAGACAACGAAATCTTTCATCGAGTGCTCTTTACATCTTATTTGGTCGGAGATGTACAAAGGTACAGTTTGAACTCAGTTTAGCTTGATTAACTGTTAGCTTAACATTGTAAATAATGGGAGATGAGGGAAGGGCATAGCTGAAGATTACTTAATCTGATTCTTCAAATTCACCTACCAGTAAAATCACAATTCATTCATTATTCGAGACTTGATGCGGAAGTTTGCTCCTTTATCGGGTCTTGACTCTTGAGAACTGAACACTGCAACTCTGAGTCTGCGATTTTGTGTTCTCTCAACAAGATTTCTCTTCTTTAGTGATTTTCACCAATTGATATAAGTACTGCACTCTTGTCAGATGCATATAATCTAATTTACACATCACTTGGTTAGATGTGGTTACAAGACTCTAGCCCAAGGGATTGTACCTAGGATTTGAAATTTTTTAAAAGACACTGAAACTATGATATTAAGGGTTTTTTTTAACACCAAAACAATGTTATTTTGGTTAAAAATAAAATAAAAAAAATAGTTTTGCATGACACTTGACCAAGCCAGGTTTCACATCTATGGTTTCAAGCGCCTATTGGTGATTACCATCCAATACCTCTTATAATGACAATGAACAAGACTTTATAAGCCTTTTTATTTGGTTTCTTTCTTGTGATTGGATGTTTGCGTTACAATCGTTTTAGGGCAACATGCAAGAAGTTTCATGAAGTCCTCTTGGATCTTGCCAACCATTGGTGAATCTTTTAGATGAACTGCCTAAGCAGCTACTTAACCCGTCCATTTTGTGGGAAAATGTGATTGAGGATTGCTGAAAAACATATCGTTTGAGCAAGTGCATCAAGGAGAACTGAATTCTTAGCATGACAGTAAGAAATAAAGTTTGTGCATTAAATTAAAGAAATGGCCATCCTATCGGGTTCGTAATAGAAATTTCTTAATTTTAAATTTGAAACATTTTTATTGAATCAGCTGTGACCTACTTGCTTCTCAGAAATATCAACCTTGTGTGTGTCTTTAGGCTCCTAAAGTACTTTTTATCTTGCGGTGACCTTCTAGATTCTATGCAAGCTGGAAAACTAGAACCAGAAGTTGCATCTCTCAATTCATCACTTATGTTTCCTTACAGAAAAAATCTTCAATCAATTCAGTCTGTGTTGTTTTCTTTCTACATATCTTTTTTGTGGATCAGCCTTCCGGCCTGCACTTTGGTCAGTTTTATTTTAATGTTGCATGTATTGATTGCTGTGACAGATACCAGATGTTTTCCCTCTTCCGGCAGCAGCACATAAGACTCTTATAGCCAAGTCCAGGGATTCACTGACCACACGCACTCTTCATTCTGAGCTAGTTTATAATTACTCAGGATCTAAGCATGTCAACCCCCCCTCTTCACTGCTTTCTCTTGTTTATAACTTGTTCTTTAGCTTCTTTTTTATCCCTAGATTACAGAATCCCTGAAAAGATATGGAATCTCCTATAGCTCCACATACATATTCCTGGCTGCTCGCTTCAACGCTTCTCCAGATGAGGTGAGGATTTCTTGTAAATGTCGCTTCATCAGCCTAAATATTTCATTGCTAACTAAAAAGACACCAATCATTTTGGTTGCACTCTATTATAGATGAAAGTGTAGAGAAACTTATCAAAGGGAAAGAAATCGAATTAGAGGAACTGGAAGGGAGAGCAAACCAAGCTCAAATGCAGAAGGTTAGTTGGGTGTGACCATCTTTGGCAAAATAACACTAGTTACGTGGTTAGCTATGTCTTGATCTTGCTTCTAACTTTGTTTCATATGTTTGTCAGCACTACAAATTTCTGGCTTGGGAGTAGGAATATCCTCTCTTGCAGATGTCATTACCTGCCGGATATCTGGCCGCGATGCTTTATAAGAAAGATAAACTGCTAAGTATATATATGCAGTTGTAAATTTTGCTGTAAACTTTTACTTTTTTTTTTTTTTTGAAATGTTAAGTTGTAAACTTTTAACTGTGTGGATGCCTGGAATCTATGATAGAAATTTTTTTGTGGGAATTTGTGCATCAGCATCGTTAAGTTCCTGTCTTGGAACCTAAAACTTTCAAAATTCATATGATAACTGGTGCATTTTATGATCATCCAAGTTCTCTTATTAAAGTAATAAGTAGGATCAGGCTGGCCTTTCTTTTCCTTTTCCTTTTTTGATGGTGAGTTGGCCTATCTTGAAGTTGAATGGCGTCTCCCACTCGAAAAAGTAAAGAAGGCGCGTAATGTAGAAATAGAAGAAGGGCACAATTACATACCACACGTACAATACCAAACACGGTGTAGGTATCCGATGATGCAAAGTGCTGATTTTGTAGTATAGATTCTTATTAATTATTAGCATATATTAAAAGAAGTCTAAGCCGAAGTTTTTTTTTTTCAATTTGGTCTTTAAAATGTTATAGGATTTTTTTTAATTTCAAATTTAGTTTTTTTATTTCATTAATTAAGATTGGACTTATTAGATATATAACTTTATAATTTATTTCAATTTAATTTTTATGAAGTTATCTTAATTTTATGATTTAGATTACGAGTTAGATAAGTTATGTTGAGTTTTTTAATGATTTTTTTAATTTTTTTCTTCAATATAATTAAGATTAGGCTTATTAAATATATGACTTTATAATTTATTTCAATTTAATTTTTATGAAGTTATCTTAATCTCATGATCTAGATTACGAGTTAGATGAGTTATGTTGAGTTTTTTAATGATTTTTTTAAAATTTTATTCTTCAATATTAAATTAATTGAGAATTGAACTTTATAACCTTTTTCAACAAATTTTCTATAGAGTTAATCTAAATTGACATGGGTCGTTAAAAAAAAACTAAAAGTCTTCAATCAATTATTATATGGTTATTAAGTTTAAACACTAACCATCTAGTAAGTTATTTAATGGCAAAAGTTTTAAATTAAAAGGTTTGTTTTTTTTGTTGTTTCAAGTTCAAGTATTATGATTGTTAATATAATAGCTATTATAATTTTATATGTTTATTAATTTTAGAGATATCTAATTATTATAATTTTATATGTTTATTAATTTTATAGTCTGTAAAACTAGTTAAAAAATATTTAATTTGGTCCAAATATTTATATTAATAAAAAAATATTAAATAGTATTGACAGAAGCGCTTCTTGTTGCATGAATACCTGCATCTTTCCTGTGTTCTCGCGCAAACTTGGGCTTGATTGCATTTTGGGTTTGTTAGCGCGAGATAAGGGTTTTTTATCTGTTGGTTCGCGGTTGCAGGTGCTTCTGCGGATCTAGGGGCACTTCCGAGACTAGGTTCGCTGGTGGCTCTGTCCAAGAGGACCGACAACTTGGCTTCATATATATGGTTGGTTTGTGGGCTTTTGGCTTGACATGCTGAGTTTATGACTGGTCAAAGGGTATTGGGTGAGCTTTCAATATTTTGATTTATTAAGTGTGACAGGATTAGGTATTAAAAGCACGCCTTACCTGCAATGTATCTAGTTACTTGATGGCTGTCGGTTTCATGGTGTTTTGGTTTATATATTAACAAACTTTATCTTAAAAAAATATTGCCATCAATGCTTTAAGATTTTTGCTTTTTTGGCCCCAACATCCATGCAGGTTTCAATTGGAATGTGTTGTGAATGATGAAGAAGATGTAACAAGCTTCCTTTTGGTCGAGAAGGCTGCTGAGGACTTCTTTGGTTTGTCTGCACATCATTATGTGTACAACAAGAAATTTAGCAATCCTTTTGTCATCACATCTCCAACGATTGCCGAGCTTAGTAAAAGCTTCATCTTTCAGCTTAGATTTGGTGCTTCCAAGGCTGGTGAAATTCGATGTGATATGGTCGTGTATAAAGATTTTGATGATGTCACTCGAAGTGCCCTTAGCAAGCTGTCCCAACAGCAAATTCATTGCCAACATCTATCGTGGTTGCTGCTCTTTCGGACTCAACGCCACCACCTCCACACAGCCCTGTCACTCCTGCAAGTGTGGTGTCTCCTTTATCAACAACATAATAGCTGCTTCCACACAACCAGCGACATGGCCACCAGACTTCCCGTTAAAGCAAAGAGAAAATTGCACTTCGACTGTGTCGCAGCACCATCAAGGCAAGCCTTTTTTTTGTCTGCCTTCAAATTCACTTTTTGTGTAGGTTTCATTGTTTGTTAATCATCTTTCAAATGCTTGATCTATGATTTTTTATTTTTATGCAGTAAAACTTAACAAGATCCAGGTTACGCCGACAATAGTCAACTGCTGGCTACACAGCGCACTTCACCTTCACCTGTGAAGAAACCACACATGTCAAGCTCAGATTTGTAGGTGTTATCACTCCCCTTTGCCATTGTTTAATTGCTTGATCAAGGTATATTGCCATTTTAACTTCTTATTTACCTTTAACAGGCGTTTCAATTACTTCCCAACACGTGGAACAAAGACAACATGTTGCTATATTCAATCCCTTCTTTATTCATTTATTTGGCTTTTATATCACCAAAAAAAAAAATGTCTTCTTCAATCTTGCTTATGCTCATTATTTGCAAATTCTAACCAAAAAAAAAAAACAGGGTTACTAGCTTTCTAAGCTTCAATGCAAAAATGTGTGCAGATATGCTAGGCATTGCTTATACCGACAAACATTATTTTATTAGATTACTTCATCACAATCTTACTAAATATTGGAAGTTTTATTTTAGTTTGTTGGCAAATACTTTATTTTTGGGACTCGCTTTGTATTTGTAATGTAAATCCACTGCAAGCTTGCATGTGGATCCATGCTATTATTGTTATTCTGCATTGCAATTACATTTCTTCTTTAAAAAATGACAAGTCTTTTTTTAATCTTGAAATTGATTGTTTAATTTTAGTAATCTTTTTATATTCAAATGTTCACAAAGTTAACCATCAATTGTCATTAATGCAATGATTCATACTAATTAAGAATTGACCCATTATATCACACGGGACATCTATTTAGTTAATATATATGAAAAGAGCTTAGCTTCTCACTATAATAATGGATAGTTAAAAAGCTATTTTTTTTATAATTTAAATCTTAGTTTTTATTTTTTAATTTTATTTTTTAATATTAAATTTACTAAATATAAGACTTTATAATTTATTTTGATTTCTTATGATGTAGGTTGCAAGTTTTGCGAATTAACCATGTTGACTCATATCATTTTTTATTTATTTTTTAATTATATATTTTAAATTTTATCTTTTAAAATTGGATTGATTGGAAATCAAACTTTATCATCTTTTCAATTCACTTGCTATAAATTATCTCAGTCTTTTGACTTGATTGAGAGCTAGGCTGGTTGACTCAAATTTTTTATTATTTTTTTAATTTTATCTTTTAATATTATGTTGATTAAGAATTAAGTTTTATAAGCTTGTATTCAATAAAATTATTTTAATCTTATAGCCGGGGTCATGGGATTAATCAGTTGACTCAAATGAGTTTTTATGTTATCTTTTCTAATTTTATCATTCAACATTGAATTAATTTGGAATAAAATTTTATAGTTTGTTTAGATTTACTTTATATAGTGTTATCTCAATCTTATAATTCATTTTTGTACGTTAACCCATATTGACGCTACTCGTTTTTTTAATTGAATTTTATTTTTAATTTCATCATTCAATACTGGGTTGGTTGATAATAAAGTTTAATATTTTTTTTTTCTTAGGATCATCAAGATCTTATGGCTTGAATAGCGAATTTGAAATGTTAATCTAAATTGAAATAATATGTTGTTATTTTAATATTTTTAAAAAATATGTTTTGATTTTTTAAAAAATCAATCTATGTTTTTATCTATTATTGAAATTATTTTTAAATGTATCAAGTCAGGTAATGTTAAATTATTCTCCATATAATTGTTTTTGAAAAACAATTAATATTTTTTATATTAAAAGGAATGATATCATGTAGAGCTCCGGGCGGTAACAATATAGTTAGTTAATCGGCATTAAGGGAATCGCGCCATCATGAGATTGAAAGAAATGTGCGGAAAAAGGAAGAGGTACTCTTTCTAACTGTTGAATTAAAATTTTGTTTTGGGTTAATTTTCCCATCTTAAGAAAGGTGGGCCGTACTGTTAGTGATTAAAAAAATACTGATGACAGATAGGATATTTCTTAACCACGTTTAAAGTTTCTTTTATGACACGATCCAAACACGGGGACAACACGTGGCAACCTTTAGAAGTGAACCTCGGTGTCTTCGTTGCCAAGTAAATTGCGGACGTCTGTTCGACGCTAATGTGTAACAATCGATAGCCGGTAGTCTGACAAAAGGTAGGCATTTTTGCTTTGAGGCCCCTTAACTTAATATTTTCGCAGGTCTACTTTCTTTTACTCGAAGCATCCTTTCTACACCCTCCCTATGCGATAATGCACCCATGATCTCATCTTCGTTAGTTCGATGGAAATCATGAGAAAATTCAACATTGTGAAGTCACCATTTATTGTTTTTTCTATTTTTCATATTTATTTGGATGAGTTATATATTTTAATTTTTACCAAATTGATCAATTTTCTTATTTTAATTGAAAATACTTTGTTCAATTATATTATAACACATAAACGTTATCTCTTTTATTGATAGCTAACTCTTTTTTTATATTGTCTTGACAATGTTTATGAAAATAAATAATTTCAATAAAAATCAGATTAAAAAATATAATTTATTCAAAGTACAAGCATGATTTAAATAATATTTTTTATTTAATTTTCTCTTCTCTAGATCAAAAAGATTAGTCTTGTTGTTTAGATTTTGTATCATATAAAAATAATTATTACAAATTACTGTTTGGGTCCTAGAAGAACATAGAGTGGCGTGAGTGACCAAACATGTGGGGGGGGGGGGGTGT